GGCTGCTCCAATGCAGGAGGAGGGATGGAGACACCCTCTCAACTTTGTCGCAATACTTGAACGAGAAGGTCCGGAGGTTGGTGAGCATGGAGAGGGTATCTGGAAGGTGAGTAAGGCTTTCAAGTTGGCTCCACTCGAGATGCACCAGCGATGACAGGCGACCCATGCTCTCTGGAAGGTTCCTAAGCCCTTTGCACGCCTTGAGGACCAACATGCGCAGGTTAGAAAGCTTGCATAGCGAGTCAGGGAGCGATACAAAAGCAGCACACTTCTTGATGGTCAAAGTCTTGAGAGAAACGAGGCCCGACACTTAATTCGGAAGGAACTCAAAACTTCCACACCACACGAGCTTAAGAACTTGTAGAGACGTGAGCTGGAAAAACGAATCAGGGAGGCCGGAGAGGGGATTGACAGATAAATAAACCTCTTGAAGGTTCTGAAGCTGGCCGATGGTGTCAGGAAGAGCTTTCAACCCGCTCAGATCACGAATGCCGAGTTTGACCAGTGACTTCAGCCCACCAAGCCAGTCAGGCAGACTGTCGAACTTTTGAGAACCGTCTATGAACTGCAGCTCTGTCAATTCGGAAAGCTGGCCAACGGATTCTGGAAAGCAGCTAGTCCATTGGAAGGCGAGTGTCAGCTTAGTCAGGGACCTTAGCTTGTAGAATTCTTCATCAGAATAGTCGAAACCGCTATTCAGATAGACCTCCGTCAGGGATGAAAGATTGAAGAAGGATGGTGGCAGATCAATAATCTCTTCACCATGAGCTGTCAAAATGTCAATGGAGAGGTACTGTAACGCAGTGCAGCCCGTGAAGAGGGCATCTGTACCGTCATACGTCAACCCCGCATGCCAACTGCCCAGGTCAAGATATGTTAAGCCAGGACAGGCAGATCCTAGGCCGCGGAGGAACTCGTGATCGTCCTGGTCGAGAATGCACTGGTCAATCGTCAAAGAAGTCAGATTTCTAAACCGGGAAAGCGATTTCAGAAGGTCAGCATCTGCATTAAGCTCACGCGGGCCGTTGGCGATGGACGTCTGTGCGAGGTAAGCGAGGCGATTAAAGCGTTTACACACCAACGCATGATTGAAGTAACTGCTTGCTGAGATAGTTAAAGATGAGGCAGATGATCTCGTCTGGCAATCGATCTAACGACACACGTCGACCTCGATGCGAGTCCGGCGCCAAGGACAGCCAATCTCCTTCGATTTCGGACATTGTGAACACGTTGCTGCGTAGTATGGTAAACTAAAGCAGAATTGAAACTAGAGCAGACCGGGCGGAAAAGAGTGATAGAGCAACCTCCACCAAACACAGGTAATCTCAAGGCGAGGTTGGCTCGGTGCTGCAATATCAACACCTTGGGCTTGGAGCGCCCGCTGGGGTTGCCTAGGATCTTTGCGTTTGTTTTCGCTGAGTTGGTTTTCGCTGCGCTGGTTTTCGCTCTAGTTTTCGCTGCGCTGGTTTCCGCTGTGCTGGTTTTGGCTGCACTGTTCTCGTCTTTGACTCGGTATGCTGCTTTGCTGGGCGTAGTTGACTCGGTTTCGCTGTTTTGCTGTGTTTCTTGGTTGGTCCAGCTAGTTCACTTTTGCCCCTATCATTCAGCCGCTGCCGTGGGTATGTCCGTTGGTTTTCGCTGGGCTGTCTGGTTATCGCTGCGCTGGTTCTCGCTGAGCTGGTTTTCGCTGTGATAGGTTTCGCAGAGCTGGTATTCGCTGCGCTAGTTTTCACTGAGGTGGTATTCGCTGCGCTGGTTTTCAATGCGCTGGTTTTCGCTGGGTTTCTCTGGGTCGTCCGTTTCCTCCTAGAGTTGAAGTGGCTCAGGACGCGGGCACTCGTACGGGAACCGCATCGATTGAAAATTTTCGATCTGCCACCGCACTGGAAACCTGCTATTATAATCTAAAACTTTCCTCACCTGTTTAAAAGTCGTAAGGAAACGACCCTCCCCCGAAATCGATCGCCAGAATCGGTGTGAGTGCCCGCGTCCTGAGCTTGGCGAAGCCAAGCCAAGGCAGACAGACCCAGCAAAAACTCCAGATCCGTACTGAGCTGGAAGCACACTCAGTGCGTTGCGAGAATGTCGACTGACGAAGGAAAATGTGCGTTGCGTTACTGTGTGTCGACATTTTCGTTAATAATACCGTTTCGTTCAGTGCGTTGCGAGGGAAAATGTCGACTGACGAAGTCCAAGGCATTCGCGAAAGATACACTTCGAAACGATCTAAATCCAGAACTGAACACGGTAACCCAGTGGACGGAACCTAACCTAATCATCGACTTTCACTCCTCGCCGAGTCCTAAATCATGGCGGATTCTGGGTAACTCATGGCGCGAAACACGCCTACTCCGATCATAGGTGTCACTACGCGTCTCCAGGCATAGGTGGCTCAGACCAAGTGTCGTGAATCGTGATCACCCGCAGATGTAGTTACCACCAATTATGTGTACAGCAGGCCTCTTTCTCTGATCGTTTCTCCGCTCACCCCGCTCGATTCTCCGCTCCCACTCACTCTGTTCGTTTCTCGGCTCTCACTCTTTCTGATCGTTTCTCCACTCTCGCTCCCTCTGTTCGATTCTCCGCTCGTTTCTCCGCTCTCGCCCGACATCCTTTTGCGCTCTCACTCTCCCTTTCGCTCTGCACATTTTGCGTGCAGGCGAAGGAGCTGCGTGCATCCCTCGGTTCCGTTTTTAAGATATTACAAATAATGAATCTTTCTCACTTTCACGCTCCAAAGCTTTCGCGCCCTCACTCTCTCTTCTTCTCTCCCTGTGCTCGTCCCCGTGCAGGTGAAAGAGCTACGAGCATCGAGCATCCCTCAGTAAATTCTTTTAGCATTCTCGAAAGTGACTCTCAAAGCATTCGCGCTCACTCCCTCTATCTCTCCGTCTCTCTGCCCTTGCGCGTGCAGGTGAAGGAGCTGCGCGCATCGCTCGGTCCGCTCCCCAAGCGCGCACGGATATTTTGCTCCGACGCGTGCCTGCGCCGATACCTGCGCGCGCGTAACTGGCACGTGCAGCGCGCCGAGCGCATGCTGCGCGACACGCTCAAGTGGCGCCACCAGTGCCGCCCGGAGGAGATTAGATGAGTACGGGTGAGAGATCGAATCCGCTTGTTCCCGCAGACCTTCACACCACACAAACGTCCAAATCATGCCACCCTTCGTGGCGGTGGTGGGTGTCCAATTTGTCCTTCCCGTTCGCCACTGCGCCACTCCCCTGTGCACTTCCCCCTTCCTTCCGCATCATCCCCATCTGGTGCATGAACCTGCGTTTGCGAGGTGAGGTGCTTGCGAGGTGAGGTGCTTGGGTAGAGATGGGGGCTGTGATGTGACCTGAGGGAAGGGGCCAAGGTGTGCAGAACGGCGCTCCAGCCACTGGATGAGCTGAATAGGATTATAAAAAGCCTGTGTACTGGTGCTCATCGATCTCTCAACCAGCGATAGGGTGCTTACATAGCTGTACAGTACGAACCTGATCGATCGTGCATTCCCCTTGCTGCAGAACACCAGCAACCATGCAGGGCAGTCCTCACACACCCCACCACCCTCACTCGTACATTCCCTCTGGTTTTAAAACGCCAGCAACCATGCAGGACAGGTGCGGCACCTGGTGCAGGTGCACTGCCTATTCAAAGTCATCATGCCGTCATGAACCTGCCAGCCACTGCCCACCACTCTCAAGCGCCTCTCCTCTTACGCATATTCCCCTTGCTCACAGAACACTAACAATCATGCGGGGCAGGTGCGCCACCTCGTGCACTGCCTTAAAAAACGCAGTCATGAACCTGCCCGCTACTGCCTGCGAGCAGCAGCAGCCGCAGCCGCGTGAGAATGGCAGGCAGGGAGAGTAGCACAGCGAGCAACAGGAGGAGCAGGGGGAGCAGCAGGGAGAGGAGCAGGTGTTATCTACAACCCGCCCGCTGTCTTTGAGGCCTTCTGGAAGGTGCGTGCAGCTTCCTGGGGAAGGTGAGGTGCTGTGAGATGGTGGGGTGGTGCATGAGGCTCCCTTGGAATGACTTTTGAGTCGACTCCAGGGCTGGCTTGGTGCCGCTGTCATGTACAACCCGCCTTGTTATTTTGAAGCCTTTTGGAAGGTGAGGTGAGGTGATGAACAGACCAAGTCTCTGTTTTTTTGTTTATCCTCTGGTTTTTGTTAATCCTTGCTTTTTTCTCTCCTTCTTCGTTTTATCCAACACGGTTTTCTCTGTCCTCTTGGAATCTGCTGTTCATTGCATTTGCAGCCAGCGTGGCCGGTTGCAGAGGCCAAGCATTGTTCAATTTTCATACTCATACTCACAATCAGGAAACCATTTTTTCGCCTATCCATTCTGCTTTCTCACCCTAACAGATGATCCGACCCTTCATAGTCCCGCTGACACTCAACAAGATCCTCTTTGTCAACCCATCACATTCAGTCAGAATAAACATTCAGTCAGAATAAACATACCGTACTACTACGGTATTTGGGCGTCTTAACAACCTCTCACTTGACCCGTCTGCCCCAACAGGTGATTCGCTCCTTCATAGGACACTCAGCAGAGAAGACAGCAGAGTTCTGGAGGATAGTTGAGGGGGAGCGGTTGGGGCAGCAGCAGGAGATTGTGGGGGGTGACAGTGGGGACAGAGCTGACAGCACTCAGGGCAGCGAGGGAAGTTAACTATAAGCATCCTGGATATGCTGCAGGTTTATAGCACATTTCTGAAGGGCGTCCAATCAGCATAACTACATTATGGTTTCGATTACATCATTGCTGAGTACTGAGTGACAGCGAAGACATAATGAAAGCTTGGAATGAGATACCGTAGATGTGACAGCGAAGGGTGGAACCCAGCCTATTGTGACACTAATGATGCTGATAATGACAGTGAAGACATCTACCGTTGTGCATGCCAACATTGACCATCCAAAATACAAAAACAGGAATCACTATGCACTAAAATAAGCACACCCCCCCACAATCCAGCAATAAGCACTACATCTATCGTCCCCTTTCACTCACTCTCCCCTTCCAAACAGTCCATTTCCTAATTCCCTACCATCAACACGTCCACTCTCCAGATTTGGAATCTTGGATATTGTATCATACACAGCATGCGCAAGTTTCGGGCATGCAGTGACCACGAGAGTCTTGAGGCTGGTGAGACTGCTTAAGGAGTCAGGCACACTCATCAGTTTAGGGCACGAACTGATAGTCAGCCGCTGCAGCTGTGAAAGATTTCCCATCTCATCTGGAAGCCCGTACAGGTCCAAAAGGCCAAACAGAACCAGCGTTTTCAGATTCGAGAGCCGGCAAATAGACTTCGTGAAAGCACTTTGATCCTCCTGGCACGTCACGCAGTTGGCTGGCCACCCAAACTCAAGAGTCGTAAGGCTGCTCCAGTGCCGAAGGAGGGATGGAGACACTGCCTCAACTGTGTTGCAGTTGAAGGAGAAAGTGCGAAGATTTGTGAGCTTGGAGAGGGTATCAGGAAGGCGGGTAATGCTTTCAAGTTGGCCCAGCTCGAGATGCTCAAGCGAGGACAGGCGATCCACATTTTGTGGTAAGTCCGTGAGCCCTGAGCAAACCTTGAGGACCAAAATGCGGAGGTTAGAAAGATCGCAGAGAGAGTCAGGGAGCGAAACCAAGTCTGCACAATCTATGATAGTTAGCTTCGTGAGAGAACTTAAGCCCGACACTGCGTTTGGAAGAGATTTAAAAAAAGGACATTCCACGAGCTCCAGAACTTGAAGAGAAGCAAGCTCGAAAAAAGTACTCGGGAGTTCGGAGAAAAGAGATGCCTCTAGGTAAACCTCTCGAAGGTTCCGAAGCTGGCCGATGGTGTCAGGAAGAGCTGTGATGCCCACATAACGAATGCTAAGTTTGACCAATGACTTCAGCCCACCAAACGAGTCAGGGTAAAGATTGAACGCACCCGAACTTCTTAGTAGCTGCAGCTCGGTCAATCTGGTGAGCTGGGCAATTGATTCGGGGAGGTGGTCATTGTGCAGAACGGTGAGTGCCAGCTTAGTCAGGGATCTTAGCTTGTCGAATTCATCAGGTAAAAAGGCCAAATCGAAATTAAGGGTAACCTCCGTCAAGGATGAAAGGCCGAAGAAGGATGGTGGCAAATCACACCCGTCTTCGTAGATTGTCGTCATGGTAAGCGAGAGGTACTGCAACGCAGTGCAGCCCGTGAAGAGCGCATCTAATCCTTCATACGCCAACCCTGGTTCGTCTTCGTTGTTCAGGTCAAGATAAGTCAACTTTGGACAGGCGGATCCTAGGCCGTAGAGGAAATCCTCATCGTCTGGGTCGAGAACGCATTTGCTGATCGTGAGAGAAGTCAGATGTTCGAACCGGGAAAGGGATACCAAAAGAGCAGCATCTGCTGTAAGGCTGGGAGAACTGTTGGCGATGGACGTCTGTGCAAGGTAAGCGAGGCGATTCCAATTACAGACAAGAGCATGATTGAAGTAGCTGGATGACTGCTTGTTCAGACAACGGAAGATGAGGCAGATGGGGTCGTCCGGCAGCTGATTCAACGACACTCCGGACACACCTCTACGGCGATGTGGGACTGGGGCTAGGGACAGTAAATCTTCTTCAGCACCCAACATTGCTAGCACGTTGCTGCGAACTACAATGGCCGACTATGGAAATTTAGACCCTAGATGGAAGAGAAAAGGAATCTGGGCCTAGGGTAGTAGAGCAGCGGCGCAATCGCCATAAAAAGCTGGAGAGCTTGGCAAAAACCATGCGCTAGGAGCACGCGCTGGGGTTGGGCCTGGATGTGACTGGCTTGGTTTCGCTGGGTTTACTTCCGTCTCGTGTTACCGTTTCGTTCAGTGCGTTGCGAGTGAATGTATGTGGACAGACGAAGCCCAAGGCCTGGATCTTATCGGGCCGACAGGGCCAGTCTTCGCTTGGTTCGGCAATATCCATGTCCGGTTCTGCTGGCCATGTGCCTTGTTTCCCTCCCAGAGCCTTCGCGAGGTTTCGCCTCGTCTTTTCGCTGTCGCTTGTATTAGGTTTCGTTTGTCACGTTCGAAATGTTTGTCGACAGCCATGCGGAAACCTCCTCACCTCCTCACGAGAGCCAAGTTGGGTCTATCGAAATCCACTACTGAATTCGGAAACCTATTGAAAGATCAACATCTTGTTCTCAATAAAAAAAAAAACATCATTAAATGACAAGAAATTGCTTCACTTATGCTCCCAGCACTTTCAATTGCTACTCACTCACAGTTGGGGTAAACAATGTGCCCTGATTTACACTGATGAAGCTCACATATTTGAGAAGCTGACAGATTGATTTGATGACAATCAAACATATCTTTCCAAGCATAGACATGTGAGTTGAGTCTTGAATTGTGGTCCAGCAGCACGGATGTGGTTACTTACCACCAATGACGAACAGCAGGCCACTCGTACGGTAACTGAGAGTCATGAAGCCACTGTCTTCTTTGTACACTATCTTGGTGGATTGAGCCATATCAGAACAATGGCGATCAAGATGAAACGTCAGGTGACGAATCCCTTCTTGCAATACGTTGAGTGCGAAATCTGCCTCCGAAGAACGTTTCAGCAGGCCTTCTCCCGCCTCCAACGCCGACCCCTCCAGCAGGTGTTTTTCTTGATGTAAGAGAGTTTGTAAGAGATTTTTTGAGAATTTTGTTCCTTTCAACCTCGTTCCTCAACCTCTCCTCTTCCTTCCCTCCTCTCCATTTCCCTCCATATAGCCTCCCACCCACACAGCTCTCATCATCCCCCTCCCCTCTCCCCCCCCACCTCCTTCTACCATCCAGACAATGCTTCGACTATCCTTGCAGTTTTGTAGTGGCCATCCATTCGTGTGCATCACCAACTGCACTGACCACTTTAGCTTCATCCGACAGAGGAAAGAAGTCCGGTGATTGTGGCTGCCACCTCAGCAGCATCAACAGCCATGGCCACTTGCACTGGCGGCACCCCCACCCATGGGTTGGGACCATTCCAACTGATGCGAAGGCAGGAGGGAGGAAATGCAGGAAGGGAGAGGGTAGAGAGTGTACAGATGTGAAAGTTTTCTTTCACTGAGGCGCCCTCAACAGAAAGGGTAGAAAGGAGAATGCACCCCATGCTAAAAAGGTAACATGGCGCCATGTGAGAGAGTGCCATGTGAGAGAGTGCCATGTGAGAGAGTGCCATGTGAGAGAGTGCCATGTGAGAGAGTGCCATGTGAGAGAGTGCCATGTGAGAGAGTGCCATGTGAGAGAGTGCCATGTGAGAGAGTGCCATGTGAGAGAGTGCCCTGTGAGAGAGTGCCATGTGAGAGAGTGCCATGTGAGAGAGTGCCCTGTGAGAGAGTGCCATGTGAGAGAGTGCCATGTGAGAGAGTGCCCTGTGAGAGAGTGCCATGTGAGAGAGTGCCATGTGAGAGAGTGCCCTGTGAGAGAGTGCCATGTGAGAGAGTGCCCTGTGAGAGAGTGCCATGTGAGAGAGTGCCATGTGAGAGAGTGCCCTGTGAGAGAGTGCCATGTGAGAGAGTGCCCTGTGAGAGAGTGCCATGTGAGAGAGTGCCCCCTGCCACGTGCCTGCTACCACTGCTACAGCCCTTCAGGAAAATTTTAATCACTTTTTTTTTCTCCATATTTTACTGAACATGCACCTGAGAGCTAGTTCACTCACTTGTTGAGCGAGTAGTCCATGAGAGTGCATCCCCGACCTACCCCGGTGCACGCCACGCGCACACTGCCTCGCCTGAAGGAGAAGAGTGAGGGCGCTGTAAATGTGCCGAAACTAAGAGGAGGTGTGGTTCACATGACGGAGTGGAAGGGGTGGGAAGAAGGGGCGGGCAGAAGGGGCGGGAAGAAGGGGGGGGAAGAAGGGGGGGGAAGAAGGTGGGGGGAGAAGGGTCGGGGAGAAGGGGGGAGAAGAAGGGGGGGGAAGAAGGTGGGGGGAGAAGGGTCAGGGAGAAGGGGGGAGAAGAAGGGGGGGGAAGAAGGTGGGGGGAGAAGGGTCGGGGAGAAGTGGGGGGCAGAAGGGGCGGGCAGAAGGGGCGGGAAGAAGGGGGGGGAAGAAGGGGGGGGAAGAAGGTGGGGGGAGAAGGGTCGGGGAAAAGTGGGGGGCAGAAGGGGCGGGCAGAAGGGGCGGGAAGAAGGGGTGAGAGGGAGGCATGGAGATGCGTAAGGGGCAATATGAGAGCTGGTGGTGGTCTGTACGTGGGGCACGTTTTGGTGTGCCTTTCTAGCCGACTTCAAGTGCAATACGAGTGGTAGCATTAAGCCCCACTCGTCAGCACCTGATCTGCTCGCCTTAACGCATTGCCCGTAGCCCATTACTGGTGCTATATAAAGTAACTACCATGATAGCGCGTGCATCTGCAGCGCACCATCACACCTGTGAGTGTGACCTGTGTGGTGACGTTGAGTCCCAGCACGTGGATGTTGGCACCACTCGTCAGCACCTGATCTGCTCGCCTTAACGCATTGCCCGTAGCCCATTACTGGTGCTATATAAAGTAACTACCATGATAGCGCGTGCATCTGCAGCGCACCATCACACCTGTGAGTGTGACCTGTGTGGTGACGTTGAGTCCCAGCACGTGGATGTTGGCACCACTCGTCAGCACCTGATCTGTTCACCGTAGCCCATTACTGGTGCTATATGAAGTAACTACCATGATAGCACGTGCATCTGCAACACACCATCACACCTGTAAGTGAGACCTGTGTGATAACGTTGAGCCCCAGCACTCGTCAGCACCTAATCCGCTGCCTTGGGGTCTGCAAACACCTGCCGTGGAGAGGAGCAGAGGGGTAGAGAGGGGTGGGGAGGGGTGTAGAGAAAAGGAGGCAGAGGGTTGGAGAAAAGAGGACATTGACGCAGCACCTGATCCGCTGCCTTGGTGTCTGCAAAGTGTGGAAACTACCTACAGTACGCAGGCAATAAAAGATAATGACAATAATGATGCTGATAGCGACAGCGACAGTGAAGACATATACAGTAAGACTTGTCAACATTGACCATCTGATCTGAAGTACGAAGACAGGAATCACTGCAAATGTAAAACACACACACCCCTACCACAATCCAGCGATAAGCACAGCAGCATCTACCATCCCTTTCCACGGACTCCCCCCTTCTCAAATGACCCATTTCCAAGTATTCTACCATCAACGCATCCACTCTCCAGATTTGGAATCTTGGGAATAACCTCATGCTCCTCATCCCCAAATTCCGGGCATGCAGTGATCACGAGAGTCCTGAGGCTGGTGAGACTGCTCAAGGACTGAGGCAGACACATCAAGTAAGGCCACGAACTGATAGTCAGTTGCTGCAGCTGTGAAAGATTCCCCATCTCATCTGGAAGCCTAAACAGGTCCGGAAGGCCAAACAGGAGCAGCGTTTTCAGATTCGAGAGCCGGCAGATAGACTCCATGAAGGAACTTAGATCCTCGCTGCATGTCCAGAGATTGCCAGGCCATCCAAACTCAAGTGTAGTAAGTTTGCTCCAATGCTGAAGAAGGGATGGAGACACTCTCCGAACGTTTTCACAGTAGTTGAAGGAAAAGCTGCGGAGACTGGAGAGCTTGGAAAGGTTTCCAGGAAGGTGAGTGAGGTTTATGAGTTGGCACAGCTCGAGATGCTCCAGAGACGACAGGCGATCCATGCTCTCTGGAAGGTCCCAAAGAGCTGAGCAATCCTTGAGGACCAACGTGCGGAGGTTAGAAAGATCGCAGAGAGAGTCAGAGAGCAAATTAAAGTCTCGACAATCTCTGATAGTTAGCGCCTTGAGAGAACTTAAGCTCGACACTGCGTTTAGAAGGGGATCAAAACCTTTACACTTCACGAGCTCAAGGACTTGCAGAGATGAAAGCTCGAAAAAAGAACTCGGGAGTTCGGAGAGGGGATAGCCATTTAGGTAAACCTCTCGAATGTTCCAAAGCTGGCCGATGGTGTCAGGAAGAAGTATTCCGCTGCCCAAATCACGAATGCGAAGTTTGACCAGTGACTTCAGCCCACCAAGAGAGTCAGGTAGACGGTCGAACGTATCAGAACTGACTGTCATCATGGTAAGCGAGAGGTATTGCAGCGCAGTGCAGCCTGTGAAAATCGCATCTAAGCCTTCATACGTCACCCCTGGAGAATCTCCGTTGTTCAGGTCAAGATAGATCAACCTTGGACAGACAGATCCCAGGCCACGAAGGAACGCGTCATTGTCCTTGTCAAAAACGCACTTGTTAATCGTGAGAGAAGTCAGGTGTCTGAACCGGGAAAGGGAGGCCAGAAGAGCAGCGTCTGCTTTAAGGGAAGGCTGGCTGATGGCGATGGACGCCTGGGCAAGGTAAGCGAGGCGATTCCAACGTTCACAGACCAACGCGTGATTGAAGTAGCTGGGTGACTGCTTGTTCAGACAACGGAAGATGAGGCAGATGAGGTCGTGAGGTAACTGATCTCCTTCGTTGCTGGACATTGTCAACACGTTGCTGCGAAGCGTAGTAAGCCAAAGCGAATATGGAACTAGAGCGTTGGCGGACTGGGAGTTGTACTACTTACCTCCACTGAACCCTATCCTGCCGCAGGATATGTAGGAGGAGTAGGAGGGAGCTTGTCACGTCATCTGAAGACAACATTGGCTCAGGTTGGCTTGGCAACATCCGTGTTGAGGACGTGCCTCATGTGACCTGGTCCGCGACCTCGGTCTATATGCTTTGGTCCGCGACCTCAGTCTAGATTTACACAGTATCGACGAACCCTCTTTCTATTGCCTGGTGTTCACTCACCATTCCGTGACGTGTGAAACACGCGAATAAAATCAGAGTCGTTCGGACCACCCGCGGCCCCGTTTCAACGCTATAACGAGGTTATTCCCCGCATACCGGTTCTGTCCACCACCCGGATCACCCTGCGGTTCGCGAGCTGGTCTAGTGGGTCCGTATCGGACCCACGTGGACAAACGCCTTTGAGACGCCACGCCATGGAATGGATTATGGAGCACTGGGGTGCGGGGGTCGTGATTCGGGATTTGCGCTTTTGTTTTCGCGCGTTGGTTCTCAGTGGGGCGAGTTCCGGGGCCCTCGGTTTCGCTGCCTTCGATTCGTGGTCGTGCTTTCGTAGCGTTTCTTGTAGAGCAAGGTGTATTTCCGACTCGTGTAACCGTTTCGTTCAGCGCGTTACGAGTACTTTTCGCGGAAACATGGTTTGTCCATCTACAGCTTCAGATCACCACGCGTAGAACTTGACGTAGGTAACCTAACGGATCAAATAATTATTTCAAGTCAAATCTGGTTTCTTGCCAAGAATTATGTTACATCAATAGTATAAATCAAAAATAGTTGTATTAGTACTATTTATGGTACCTAATCCCTTGTGCTAGTTGTCCCATCTTAGCGGCTAATATACTCCTCTACTCCCAAGCGTCTCATCAGCTACGGTACAAAATATACAGTGATCTGTAGAAAATTAATTGGTCTCAGCAAACATTCTCCTATCTGCTTCTCTTCATCGCAGGGCCATCCAACAGGCCTTTTCTCAACATGTACTGAGTTCCAAATAGGCTCTCGATCCTTTTTTTTGTAAACCTCGCTCCTCAGTCTCTCCAATTTCCCTCAATTCTCTGTTTCCCCTCCCTCCCTCCTCTCCTCTTCCTCCAGACGACACTCTGGCTATCCTCGCAGCTTTGAAGCGCTCGCTTATTCGTGCGCATAAACAGCAGTCATGCCCACTTGCTTCATCCGACAGACGAAAGGAGTCGGGTGATTGTGGCTGCCACCTCAGCAGCATCAACAGCCATGGCCACTTGCACTGGCGGCACCCCCACCCACCCATGGGTTGGGGCCATTCCAACTGATGGGTAGGCGGGGGGGGGAGAGGGAGAATGTGCATGTTGTGAGGCACTCAAAAATGCACTTGCACTGGCGGCACCCCCACCCATGGGTTGGGACCGTTCCAACTGATGGGAGGCCGGAGGGAGGACAGGTCGGATAACAGAAAACCATTTCCACACCCTGTTCAGACCAGCCCCGAACAAGTCACTGAGAAGAACGGGAAGCGTCCATTGCACACTCAATCAGCCCGTCTATTACCGCCTCGTTAACCCAATCATCCAGCAATAGCTCCCTCATTAGCCCATGATCATGCACCGCTAGCCATCTGTCTGTTACTGCTGCAACAACCTGGTCAAAGTTGATGGTAACAGCATCATTCACAGCAACATCAGCGTGCACCCTCTGCCACCTGCCTAATACCGCTGCTGCTACATCCCTCGCTGCTTACTTCTTGAACGAGTACTGGACCAACACGCATACGTTGATCAACCCAGTGCTTTCCACTCCACACACATAGCTCATTAACCCAACTGCCCTGCAATTGCAAAGTTCAATTGCTTCTTGAGCGAGTGGCCCATCAGCGTGCACTCTCTGCCGCAACTTGAGACACTTGAGCAGTGTCTACCAACGCTGCTGCTACATCCCTCCCTGCTTTTTACTTGAACGAGCAGTGGACCATCATGCACACCTTGCTCAGCCCAGTGCTCTGCACACACAAATTAGCTCATTAACCCACCGCTCCGCAACAGCAAAGTTAACTTGCTTCTTGAGCAAATTGTCTATCAGCATGCACTCTCTGCCGCATCCCTTGGCACTGGAGCAGTGTTTTTTAGCCGAGTCAAATACTTGAGTCGAGTCAAAACTTGAGCCAAGTGGTCCATCCGTGGGCACCCTCTGCCGCATCCCTTGACACTTGAGAGTAGTGGCTACCACCACTGCTGCTACATCCCTCCCTGCTTTCTGCTTATCGACAAGTCCACCAGGATGCACACGTTGCTCAACCCAGTGCTCTCCACACACACACATAAATGGACGTACTCTAAAAGATGGAAACACTTACTTCTTGAGCGAGTAGGCCCTGTGAGTGCGTCCCTGGCCCACCCCCATGGCCTTGACACACTCACATAAAACTGGAAACACAACTGAAAGATAAAGTCACTCACTTCTTGAGCGAGTAGTCTATGAGCGTGCAACCCCGGCTCACCCCAGTACCCCACAATTTTTTAGCCGACTCAAAAATCGACTTGACTCAAACATCACTGAATGTGCACTTCAGAGATAGAATCTCTCACTTCTTGAGTGGGTTGTCCATGAAAGTGCACCCCCTGCCTTCTCCAATGCTCTCGACAACACCCATGCATTACTGGATGTGCACTTCAGAGATAGAATCACTCACTTCTTGAGCGAGTAGTCCATGAGAGTGCATCCGCTCCCCACCCCAGTGCACTCCACACGCACATAACGTACACGTCAAAGAAAGAGCCACTCACTTCTTGAGTGAGTAGTCCATGAGCGTGCATCCGCTCCCCACCCCAGTGCACTCCACACGCACACTGCCTCGCTTGAAGGAGAAGAGTGAGGGCGCCATGATGGCTGCCACTGCACACGCGTCGTGCAGGAAGATTCCTGGAAAACGTGAAGTGGGGAGGAGGAAAATGGCCGGGGAGGCTCCAAGAGGCATTGATCGAGGAGGCACGTGTATAAAGTGAATTTTTGAGACGTCACTTTATACAAGAGGCATTGATCGAGGAGGTGAACGAGAACACGAAAGGAAGAGCAATGGGCAGATGTTGGAAAGAGAGGATGCAAAAGTGCACGCCCCACCCCACCCAATTTCACCACACCCCACCACATCCCACCTGTGTGGAGAAAAACACGTTCAGCGTTTTAAACGCTGGCGTTTGAACGCTGCGTTTAAAACGCAGAACGCATTTTGGGGGGTCCTGAAAACGCTAAAAAAAAGCAGGGCCGGGCAGGGTGAAAAAACCTTCTGGGCAGACAAAAAACTTCTAATAGGGCATTGGGAGGAGGGGGAGAACGACATAGCACAGATTTAAGCATTTTTTTCCCCTACGTAATAATCTTTCCCACAATCTTAGTGGGGAATTGGGATTTTGCTTGAAGGGCTGGTTTCCAGGAGTCGAGTTGGGTCCGGAGGGGTTGATTTTTGGCAAAAACGACATTCGGGCTGACCGGAAAAAAAAATTCCCCAAGCGTTCTGCGTTTTTCTGTGCGTTCAGCGTTTCGAGTTCAAACGCAAGCGTTCAAACGCAGAACGCAACGCTTCAGATGCGCTTTTCTCCACTCAGCATCCCACCACATCCCACCACATCCCACCACATCCCACCACATCCCACCACACCCCACCACATCCCACAAAACCCCACAACACTGCACGCACCATCCATGTGGTCGGACTGCTGGTGGTGGGCCCTGTATGCATTCACCAGGCGCCCCACCAGAGACGCTGCTGGTGGTGAGGGCGAAGCTGCATGCTCTCTCTCACTCTCGCTCGTATCTGCACCTACAGACGCAGCTCCTACTAAGGACGCAGTACCGTGCTCGCTCTCTCCTGTTACTGGCGACGCTGACGTGACTTGAGGGCACAGGGAGGAAAGGTCTGCACCTGGCGGGCAGAAGGACAGGCAGAGGGCGAGACCATGACATCGATAGAAGGAGCGGCATGAGCGAGGGCAAGGAGGTGTGGTGTCGATAAAAGCTCGGAAGGAGGGGGCAGAGGGGATGAGAGGGAAGCATAGAGATGACAAAAGGGGAGTAGGAGAGCTGATGATGGCCCCAAGTGCTGTTTGAGATAAATTTTCACGTTTTTTTTCTGTGTGTGTGTGTGTGTGTGTGTGTGTGTGTGTGTGTGTGTGTGTGTGGGTGTGTGTGGGTGTGTGTGTGTGTGTGTGTGTGTGTGTGTGTTTTTTTTTTTGGCCATTTCTCAGTTGATTTTTCCAGGCAATGTTTCAGGCGATTTTCAATGCAATGGAAGTGGCAAACGTTGAGCTCCAGCATGTGGACGCCATTTGGTTTGTTGGCTCTCGCATGACATCCAAGCACCCTAGCCCTTAACTGGTGCTACAAAGGAACAATAACCATGATAGCACGCCCATTCGCAACACATAGTGGCTGCAATGCACGTGGAGCATGCACATTCTAATGAAATAACTGTCAACACACCTGTGACCGTAACTTGTGTGGTGACATTGAGCCACAGCACGTGAATGTTGGCTCCACCATTCGACAGAACCTGGTCTGTTGACCTTAACACACCGCCACAGCCTTCTACTATGCGACAAAGCAACTACCATGATAGCACGTGCATCTGCAACGCACCAACACACCTGCGAGTGTGACCTGTGTAGTGACATTGAGTCCCAGCACGGCGCCAATATTTCCCTGTTGGCCTCACCACACTGCCTAGCCTCGTACTGTTGCTATAGATCAACATCCATGCCAGCACGCACATTCCCAGCACACCTGTGAGTGCGACCTGTGTGGTGACGTTGAGTCCCAGTACATGGATGTTGGCACCACTCGTCAGCACCTGATCCGCTGCCTCAGGATCTGCAAACACCTGCTGTGGAGGGGTGGGGAAGGGTGTAGAGAAGCGGAGGCAGGGTCGAGGGGTGGAGAGAAGGGGATGTTGGCGCCAATTGTCAGCACCTGATTCGCAGCCTCGGGATCTGGGTCTGCAAACGCCTGCTGTGGAGAGAAGCAGAGGGGGCAGAGAAGGGTGGAAAAGGGCGAAGGCAGGGTCAAGAGATGAGGCGCCACTCATCAGTACCTGAGCCACTGCCTTGGGGTTTGCAAATACCTGTCGAGGAGAGGAGCAGAGGGGCAGAGACGGGTGGAGAGTAAGGGCTTTTGGCGCCACCCATCAGCACCTGGCCTGCTGCCTTGGGGCCTGCAAATACCTGCCTTGCAGGAGGGTAGATCTTGAGAAGCAGCAGCTGAACTTGAGACGGAACGGCACGGAAGGGCACAAGGTTGAGGGTTCGAGGAATACTGAGAGGAAGGGCACGAGGACAGAGTAAGACTCAGAGGATATCGGAGAGGAGGGCTGGCAAGAGTGTGGGGATGAAAGGAAGCTTCCCACATCCCTCACCGACCAGGCTGCAAGTTTCTTTACTGGTCATCGTCTGTACCACACTCTCATTTTATTGAATGAGAATCTTGCTGGTGAATCTTACCCAGTCACTATTAAATCTCCCAATAGTGAATCCGATACCACCCTCTCCCACTTTCCATCCCCCAAATGCACACTCCGTTTTGCCGAGCGGCATGAAGCCCAGTCAGCCTGCTGCCCTCCGTCTCCTTTCCCCTTCTTCTTCTCTCCTTCTTCCACTGCCCCACCTTCTTCCCTGTCAGCCCCCCCTCCGAGCACTCACGCTCTCTTCAGCAGCGGCGTTGACATCCCCACTGGCGAAGAATGAGCCCCCCGCCACCCAGATGCCCGCCAGCTCCGATGCTAATGAGGGGCGATGGGAGAGAGCCTGGTGGGAGCAAGTAGTCACGGGTGGGATGTGAAAACCTATGATGGATTATACGCGTATAGCGTATATACGCGTGTCGTATATACGCTAGTGTTTGTACGCTATACGCTGGAGGGACCTGATCGAGGATACGCTTTTCCGGGCAGTAAAAAAAGTTTCGCGGGCAGGGCAAAACAAAACCCGGTGAGCATTTTCGGCTACTCGGGGGAGTTTTTCATACTCGTCGACCATGCGGGAATCTTGTCCCATAACCCTAACAGAGAAATTGCGGGAAATGGTTGGGTTCAGATCTGAGAACACATTTGTACCCAACCACCACAATTTCCACTGTTCGCGAAGTTGGCGATTCACCAAAATTTGTCGTGCCTTGCTGGCGATTCACCTGCGATCAAGTCAAAATGTTGGTTTGTTTTCGCGACACAGCTAGACGCAACTCACAACTACTATTCCTCTCAATCCACTTTCCCGCCAGCATAGACCGCGGACGTGCGATCTGACTTCGCAGAATTGCTCGTCGTGCAATTCCGCTGCTTTTGAGTTATTTTAAAAAAATTGGGTCGGCGGGCTGCCCAGAAAAAACTTTGGGCAGCGTATAGCGTTTTCGCTAGCGTTTCGCGTATAGCGTGTACACGCTAGCGTACAAACGCTAAACGCTTAACGTCCAAAGCGTATAATCCAACATAGTGTGAAACACGTATTTAGAGAGCAGTGGGACAGTAGAAGTTGGGCGATGGGAGCTGGGTGCAAGGAAGGGAAGATTAGGCAGGTATGGGAAGACAAGGGAAGGCAAACGAGAGAAGCTTCAGCAAAGGAGGGCCATACTGCTGGGCGTGGTGCAGTTGAGAGCAGTGCAGTGGTGCAACGAACAACAGGCGTTTCTGGGCGTCCTGCCGTTATGCACTGGAGAAGAGTGGAAAAAGAAGAGTGGGGGAAGCTGCATGAGGAAGGGGGAAGGAAGAGGGGAGAATGCAGGATGAGGAAGAGGGTATATGAAACAGGAGGGTGGGGAAAATAGGGGGGGGAAGAAGTGGAACAGGGGGGACGTAGGGGACAGTGCTGTGAAGGGATGCAGGAAAGGAATGAGGCTGTGGGTAGGCTGAGAGCAAGTAAATGTAAGAAGCTTCCTGGAAAACCGAGAGGATCCACAAGCCCATGAGCAAAAAAAACATAATGCCAGGGAAAGAAGGATTTTTAAAGAGAAGGCACGATGAACCCACCAGGCCTCGAGCGTTGCGTGTGGTAGCTTCCCACGTCACATAATGGCTGAATGATGTGGCAATAATGAGCACGGGCATTTCAAAGCAGCGCGGATGGGTAGGCGGGAAAGAGGAGGAGGGAAGAAAGGGAGCGTGGGGTTGAGGGGCGGGACTGACGATACCAAAGTCATTTTACAAACCTTTGAATGACACTGAGAGGAAGGAGCGAAGACAGGTAACCAGCAACGGACGAGGCACTTCGTCTATGAGAATCAAGATTCCTGATAGCTAACTGGGAGTTCGGACTCTGATTGAGACGTTGAGAAAAAGCCTAGAGGAGGTTTCCACGAGGAAAACGGAAAGACGGAAGGAAGGCGCGCTGTGACCACGAACTGTTCCGAGGTCGCAAACGTGGCGCTCGACATAATGGAAGAGGAAGAGAATCGCGGAAGCTCAGAAGGTGATTTGCACGACGAATGATAGTTCGCGTGCTTCATCACCGTGCATTTTGAGACAATTAGAGAATCCACCGTTATGGTGCACGACGAAGTCCGTGAAGCGAAATAGAGCTGCTGTACCCTGATCGGTGGTAACCATATCCGCGGGTGGTCCCGTTTCACGACTCGTGGACTGACCCACCCATGCCTGGATCGGATAATAACGTCGATCGGATCTGGCACGTCTGGCGCCATGTGCTACTCGGAATGTGAGCTTAGAAAGTAGCAGCTGAAGGAACTTGGAAGGTGAAAGGTAGCGTCAGACAGCCGTTGGGAACAAGTCTGCTGATGAAGTCCTATTTGAAGGCAAATCTGGGTCTTGAGTTAGCGGTGTGAGGGGAGTTGCATGAGGGCTTGGCGAAGAGTGGTTTCTCGCGAATCTGTAACCGATATTCGTTCAGTCTGTACACGAAAGAGCTTGGGGCGATTTTGTTTCTTCAAAAAGCTGTCGGCATCGTCGTCCATGCAACTCAACGAACGAAACGGTAACACATGTCGACTGAACTTGCTGAGCCACATGGGTTTCTTCACAACGAAATGCGGCGAACCTTAGTTACAAGACAGCGAAACTGCGGCCGAAGAGCCAAGCCCGAGACCCAGAACCCACCGTGTTCAAGCTACAAGGGTTCTGGATTCTGGATCCACCTTGTACAGTACAAGGTACAAGGGTTGCCATCACAAGCTCCCTCTAGCCAGATCTATCCTTCAGCGCCATTGCTCTTCAATACCACACTAGACACTAGTTTGCAATCGCTCTAGTCGTAGTCGCCGGACCGTGCGAACGGCTCTAGTTTCCTATCTACCTTACCGTAGTTCACAGCAACTTGAGAACAATGTCTCAAGCTGGAACAGATCCATCGTCCAAGTTGCGAGCATCATTCAAACGACTGCCAAACGACCTCATCTGCCTTATATTCCGTTGAGATACCACGAGTCACGTCACACCCGTTTAAAGAGTCTAGGCTTCAAGGTCTCTGAAACCAGTTCTTTCATAGGTTCTTAGTAATTTGGTCTGCTAGGGAAACAATGGAGACAGCGACACATATTAACGACCTTCCTGACAACGTCCTTGCTAGGATACTATGGCGTTCTGAGGAGTCAACACCTTGGAAACCCGACAGTGACGCGTTATGGTCTCGGCATTCATTGTCGCCGAAGCCACTGTACCTTCGCTCGATCGTCTTCGACGAAGATCCCAGTCCTGAGGAGGAAGACTCGTATCCAGTATCGTCCCCCTCCTCCTTTCCAACCGCTGCCAAGATCTTCCTCCTGTCGTCGGTGTGCCGTCGTTGGCGCGATGTTGCTAAGCATGACGTCTCCACCCTCCTCGTCGAACGAAAACGTTCCATTCCTCTCCAACAACTCTCGAATGCTGTCGCGTGCTTCCCGAATCTAACCCATCTCCATCTGTGCGACGACAGCGTGGAAACCCTAGACGACACCTTCCTCGCTCACCTCGCATCGGCGTGTCCTAAGCTCAAGATTCTTCACGTGGGACGCGGGATCACTCAGCATCGGGAGTATGTCGGACCGAAGGAAAAGCACCCGATCACCGAGGCTGGTCTGGATCGCTTCTTCCAGCGATGCACTCAGCTGGAGCAGCTTTCACTGCTCTGCCTCCATCTAGGCGTCCACCTACCCGCTTCCTTCTTCCACCTCACGCGTCTTCACACCCTGGCTTTAACAGCCGCCTCCGCCTTAGAAGCTCCAGATTTGGAGAGCCTAAGCTCCCTCACCAATCTCCATATCGCCTGCAGGTTAAACAGGGAACAACTCTCGAATGTACGTCGTCTTCCCAGCATCACCAGCGTTTCACTCTCTGCCGGGCCCACGTTTGATGTCGGATTGCTGTCGGATTGGCCATTGACCTGTCTTGAACGGCTGCAGATATCAGACTGCGGAGCATTGCAGCAGCTTCCGGACAGCATTGCGGTGTTACTGCCGCGTCTGCGTGAGCTGACCGTTGCCAGGTGCGAGGCCTTGGAGGAGCTGCCGGAGGGTGTCTGTTCCCTGAAGCACCTCGAGACCTTATCAGTCATCGAATGCGACCAATTCCGCTGCCTGCCTGATAACATCGGGAGATTGTCTGCCTTGACAACTCTGCATCTGGATCATCTGACGCTGGCGAGCCTGCCTGACTCCATCTGCCAGCTCAGCTCCCTGGAAACCTTCTTTCTGCTCTCGTGCGACTCAATTGAGCTGCCAGCAGACTTGTGCTACCTCACAGCTCTCACGACTCTCTGCCTGGGGGTGAACGCGGCACTTCCAGCGGACATAGGACGCCTGAGTAACCTTCACACGCTGCTTCTGAGAGAGAGCATGTCGCTGCGGCATCTCCCGCGCTCGTTATCGGAAATTGCGTCGCTGACGAGGCTTGAGCTGCACGCGTGCGATGTGGAGGAGCTGCCAGAGGGCGTGGGGTCGCTCAGCAATCTGCGCGAGCTGCACGTGTCGTCCTGCTGTGAGCTCACGGCCCTTCCAGCGTCCGTGACGTGCCTGACTGCCCTGGAAGCTCTCTCTCTTGCTAACTGCGAGAATCTGGCCTCCGTGCCTACAAGGCTGGACGGCCTGACGCGGCTCAAACGGCTGGAGGTTGCCCGATGTGACATGCTGACACGGCCTCCTCTAGTCCTGCCGGCTTCCATTGAATGGCTGAGGTGGGGAGGTTACAGGCAGGCCACGCCTCTGCCAGACGTCTCCATACTGACGGGGCTTCGGACTCTCCGCCTGGACATAGTTGCAGTGGCATGTGGGGTCGCTGTGAGCAGGAGCCTGTCGCACGTGGAGCATTTGCATATGTCATTGGGAGGCGATGCTGAGGAGATTCCATTGGCCTTGACGTTCCTCTCCCACCTGCGCACGCTGGTTATTGAGTGCGCGTGGAGTCTCCAGAGGCTGCCGGCCGATATCGGGTCAGCACTGCCGCAGCTGCGGAAGCTGAAGCTGGCAAATGCGGACGAGTTGAGGGAGCTGCCAGCGAGTGTGACGGCGCTGCAGCATCTGACGTCCTTGGGGGTTCACGACGCGCCCAACCTGGTTTCTCTTCCGCCTGCCATCGGTGCCTTATCCCGGTTGCGCGAGCTGCTAATCGGATCCTGCAAGCAGCTTGAGCATCTGCCTGCCTCTCTCACCCAGCTTACCCGCCTGAACCAGCTGTCCATTACAAACTGCCCCATCCGCTCCCTATGTCCCACCGCTGCACAGTTCCAGTGGCTCAAATCCCTCAATTTGTCAGGCTGTGTGCAGCTGAAGGCATTGCCTTGGGATTTGGGTGAGGTGAAGGCACTGCGGGTATTGAATGTGGATGATTGTAGGCTTGTGAAGGACATGGATGGGTATGTGGTCCCCTGGAGCATCTATGAGGTGTATGGGCTGAGATTATTCCTGGGCTGAGAATGTACAAGTAGGTAGGTACTAGTAAGGTACTATGGCATGGCATGTACCGTAGCAGCGCTTTGATGGGCTGTTTCGTTCGATGTGATGTGATGTCTCTGAGGTGGGCAGTACGAATAGAAAGGCAAGGCGGGGAACGAATGCAATCTGAAGAGACAGTTCGGGAGGGTTCTGATTCTGAACACCGGGAGGAATGATGCAGAGGGTGATTACTTCCATGCCTTACTGCTGCTGCTGTTACCATTGCTGCCATCTCTGTTACTACGGTACCTTCATTACAGACACCGCCACCATTCTCATGACAAATTCCAAAGCTGTTATCACATTCTCGTTTCATGGCCTTCTTTTGTACTTCGGTACTAGGTACGTTACTTATAGTTGGCTTCCTCACTTAGGACGGTAACAAGCAGCATTCAAGTGAATGATCACTGGGCTGGGTCACGCCTAAAACGTGTAGTAGGGTGCATGCACCGCATATGTTTGGAACCGCTGAACTATTCCGAATATTCTGCTCTGCACCAAGCCCCAAGGTTTCAATCAGCTTGGGCAGGACACAGTAAAGTGCTGAGATACACCAACACCGTAGAGTGCTGAAATACAACAGGCAGCACCTCAGCAGCACCAACAGCCATGGCCATTTGCAGGAGAGAGAGCCATGGCACCATGCAGCATCATCTAATAGATGAAAGGAGTCGGGTGATTGTGGCTGCCACCTCAGCAGCATCGACAGCCGTGGCCACTTGCACTGGCGGCACCCCCACCCACCCATGGGTTGGGTTGGGACCATTCCAACTGATGCGAGGCAGGAGGGAAGCTGTATGGACAAGTATGTGAGGGGGGCGAGAGAGGTGAGGGAGGTGAGAATGGGTGAGGTGAGGGAGGTGAGCGAGGTGAGCGAGGGGAGCGAGGGGAGGCAAAGATGACATTAGCATGCAGATGCCAGTGGGCTTGAATGCTCGGGATGGATGGAGAGCAAGGGCCAGCCTGGAGAGAAACCATTTATGCGCCACCTCAAATGCCATGAAAAGCATTGAGATCGAACCTTGAGTCCCCTCAGGCAAGCCTCAAATGCTGGCGTGGATGCAGGACGAGGGTCCGAATGTCAATTTGACTTATCGAGACTTGCCTGGGCAAAATTGGTCATGGGTCTCAGCTGCACAAACGTGACTTGTCCTGCTCTCCATGCGACCTCTTTGCATATCCACTCCCACGCCATCCGCTTGTCAAAATCCCAGTCACTAACCACTGGGTTAAAAGGGCTTGTTTACATGGCGGGTGAGTGCGCCCATAACCCCCCAGGCTGACGTGCCTGTAACCCTTCCCTAGGATCATCGGGGATTTCCAGTGGACCTCTGACACCCCCCCGCACTGGGATGCCCGAAGTGCACACACCGGGAATCGAACCCGAGACCTTCGCTCTGATACCATGTCAAAATCCCAGTCCCTAACCACTGGGTTAAAAGGGCTTGTTTACATGGCGGGTGAGTGCGCCCATAACCCCCCAGGCTGACGTGCCTGTAACCCTTCCCTAGGATCATCGGGGATTTCCAGTGGACCTCTGACACCGCTGTGCACTCGTCTGTAAGCCCGCCTGTCAAATCTGCTCTTGCCCTCTACCCTGCCCCATTTTGCTCTGCATCTGCCTCTTCCCCCACACCATCCCGTGGACCCACCACATCGGCATGAGCGATGCGAGTGGCAGCCAAGTTGCCAGCGATGGGCATGGCATGCCGCCATCCACGTGGCTGCCATCAGCACTTCCCACCAGGTCATCTGGGCCTGGAACGAAGGAGCAGGTGCGCTTTCAGTCGACTCAAAACACACCTAGGCGACGCAAAACACAGCTGCCAGCGGTGGCATGGCGCCATCCACGTGGCTGCCATCAGCACTACCCCGCCAGGTCGTCTGGGCCCGGAACGGGGGAGGAGAAGACGGGAAATGCGCCACTGATAATATTGTGGTATATCGACCACAATTTCTATACGACTTTCACTGTTCTGATATCATTGAAATAATCCAAGTGTAAGGGAATCATTGATGCCAACAAGCACATCCACCAAGTTACAGCAACTGTCACATCACCAGAATTGCCATCACTGCATTTCCTTGCAAGACTATTCTCCTCTTGCCTGCATCTCCATTGGTAAAAGCACCATTTCTGAGGACTCTGGCCAGTGGCTACCACCAGTTCCACTGAGCGGGGCTGTCAGGCAAGTGTGCTTGCTTGCGTCCATTTCTGTCTTCAGTTTACACTTTGGAGGGAGTAGAAGGTACATCTGAAGTGATCGCTATTTGCCAGGAGCCCTTGCATGAGTAGAGCTGGAAGCCTTGCTGCTGTACTGCACGTTTCTCCTGCTGCCATGCTGCAGCTTCCATGTACGTCCTCCTCACAGGCAGCTGACTACATGTGCGTGTTGGCCAGTGCAGTGGGCGAAGTTGGCAATGCAGCTGTGAAGGGACGGAGGCATGCGAGGGACGGTGGATGCGGCGGTGTGGTTATGGACCGAGATCAGCAGATGAGCCTGCAGCGCGTGTTCACGAGAATACTTCGCGAGACACAGCCAGTGGCCAGGCCACCGGGTTGCAACACAACTGCCTATTGGCCTTGACAGCAGGTATGGCTGGCACGCCTTGTCCACCCCCACTGCTGAGCGCATTGGCTACATCCATGGTGACACGGGTTCCAGGAATGTGATTGGTTAGAGAAGTCTAAGACATGGTGTTAGACTCCTTGCGACCAATGGTGATGATGGTGGTGGGGAATGAGGGGAGGGCGTGGAGGGGGGGGGGGGGGGGGAAGGGAGACAAGGAGGGGGGAAGGCATTCTGGATGGAGTTATGGGACAAGGAGTCATTGTGATTGATGGTGGTGAGGGGGGTAGAAATGTCAAAACAGGACGGAAAAAAACAATAAGCGAAGGTACGGATCAACGGTAAGAGGAATTACTAACCAACGGAGATGTTGTTGGTGAGGGGGTGTTGACAAAATCTGGAAGCACAAGGAAGGGACAAGAAGATTGACCGTATGGATCATGAGAGGAGAGGGATGAGGAGAGGGATGGATTCAGCAGAGCATCTTGTCAGAGACGCTCAGGTGTAAGAATGCTGAAGCTCAAGGTGATTGGGTAGCAAGCACAACAAAGATGAGAGACTGACAGAATCACATGGCACGTCCCATTGGATGATGACACGGCACATCCAAAGCACCTCAAATCCCCTTATTGAACACATTGTTCACAATCCTCTCACCCCCTTACATCACCTGCTTCGTGTCCCAACCTCCCAACAAGCCAGCCAATGCTCCAATGCATGTCAGCCAGTGCATGTCAACCAATGGATGTCAGCCACTACCATTGGATGTCAGCCAGCACATGTCAACCAATACGGGTGAACAATCTGTGTCTTGCCATGGGAGTGGTAATCTTGGTCATGTGTCTGGCATCTCACTCCGACCAGGCAGGAATGCTCGGCCATACCATGCTCATCGCATGCCATCCAATTATGTCATGAAATTAGCCATGGAAAAAGAATGTAAATTTGGTCCCAGGGGAGAAAATTTGACTGGATGAGAACACCATGCAAGGACAGGGGAGCGATGGTGGGCTAAGTGAGGGGTCAGAGGAGGGGGGTTGGAGGAGGGGGGTAGGATTATTGATCTTGATAAAGATGCATAGTATGCAATTGTGTTTCTTGAAAAACTCCCAGCTGCTTTAGACTCGATGTTAGTGCTCATTTGTCAGTTTACCTTTCTCATATTCCCAATGTTACCGTGCTCATCATCTCATTTTCAGACTCTTACTGCACCTTCTCTGATTCTCGTGTTCTCCCTGTTGTGCTCTAACCGCCATTCTCACATTGTCATGCTCCCATTGTCATGCTCCCATGATGCTCCCATTGTCATGCTCCCATTGTCATGCTCCCATTGTCAGGCTCCCATTGTCATGCTCCCGCTGTCATGCTCCCATTGTCATGCTCCCACTGTCATGCTCCCATTATCATGCTCCCATTGTCATGCTCCCATTGTCATGCTCCCATTGTCATACATTGCTTGTAATAGTTCCATTCTTGTTTTCTCATTAGCATGCTCTCATAATCATCCCCTTTTTGCCACGTTTTCATTGCCATGATTCCATTGCCATGCCCTCATTATCATGCTCACGTTGTCATGCAGTCATTTTAATGCCCCCGTTGCCTTGCCCTCATTGCCATGCTTTCGTTGTCATGCTTTCATTGTCACACGCTCATTGTCATGTCCCCAATGCCTTCTTCCACGCTCATTGTCATGTCCCCAATGCCTTCTTCCTTTGCCATGATCCTATTGTCAGGCTCTCATTGCCATGCTCTCATTGTCATGCTCTTTTGTCATGCTTCCATCTCCATTCTCAGATTCCCGTGCTCTCACTGTCTGCCAATTCTATAATCTCATTGCCATTCTCTCAATTCCATGCTCTCATTGTCGTGCACTCATTGTCATAATCTCATTGTCATGCTCCTATTGGCATGCTCCCTCTCCCATGTTCTGCCACCCTCTCATTGCAATGCTCTCATTCTCGTGCTCTCGTTCTCATGTTCTTGTTCTCATGCTCTCATTGTCATGCTCTCATTTCTATGCTCACATTGCCATTCTCTGATTCTCATGCTCTCAATGTCATGCTCTCATGTCTATGCTCCAATGCTATAATCCATGCTCTCATTGCCATGCTCTCATAGTCATGCTCCCATGCTCATGCTCTCGTTTCCATGCTGCCACTGTCATGATCTGATTGGCATGGTCACATTGTCACTTTCTTGTTGCAATGTTGTCATTTCCACAGCCGTTGTCATGCACCTCATTGCCATGCTCTCCTCGTCATGCTCTCATCTCCATTCTCACAATTCCATCCCTCCATTGCGATGTGGTGATTATCATGCTGTGATTATCATGCTCTCACTACCAGTCTCCCATTGCCATGCTCTCATTTCCACACTTCCATTGCCATCGTCGCATTTTCATGCTCTCAT